GCTACTCGCTTGACCCAGTTTGTCAGAAATAAAGAAATGATGGATTTGGAGAAAGTAGCTCCAAGGGCTAAAAGATAGGATTAGATGATCTGTCCTGAAAAACCATATCATATTGTTTTGTCATAAAGATTTCTACACAAAGCAGTTTTTTCCTCTTGGTTTTTGTGAAGAAATACTTCCGTGGGCCTTTTTCAGTTGCTTTCTTCTTATGCCTGATAAATAAACCTAGATCACGGATAATACTACAATTTTGGAGAAGCAAAATTATGACCTGAAAGTGAAACCTGATTGTCCAAACTAGGATCAGTCTGTCCTGCAACTTCTCTTCTCCAAAGCTAGCTGAAAATCAGAAAGCGATTTCATAAAACAAGGGACAAAAGTATGCTCGTGTGTATGTACTTTACAATCTCACTTCTTTCAGTCAAAACACCCCATAATTTAAGATTTCTTGTGTAGACCAATGCTGCATTTTCCTAGTTCTCCATGTACCAGTTTGAATCCTATATATTGTCTCCATTACCAAATCCTAGAAAAAGAGAACCTTCACTGTAATACAGGAATAAATAGGGAACTCTATAGATAATATTCTCCTTACACCATAGCATAGATATGCTGATTTTGCACCATACAAAGAAGACGACAAAATGTAATAGGAATGATCATAGATAGCTGCTTGTTTCTTTCTGTAAGTGCTAAACCAAACTTAAAATGTTTTCATATATAAATAATGCAAGTGAAAGAAAATGCACCCTCTCAGTGGTGGTCCTTGAGAATTCATTTCCTTAAAACAGTGTAAGAGCAATAAATTTGACACCCAATGAAAGAGACAGTTCAAACGATGGTCCAAGTAGAACAGAATCTACACTTGGGAAAAGGAGATTAGCCTTTTAGAAGCTGAGAACTTGCAGGAACCCTATGACCATGTACTTAATAGTAATGAATCAGAGCAAATCAGATGCTAACTCTACCATCTAATTTTTAAACCTATTTCTTCCCAATGTCCACATCTTCCACAACTTGAACGACAACAAAAAATAGAGATTATATGTCTTTCTTTTTTCTAGAACAACCCAAAAATTACTGCACAAGTAACAAATCAAAAAGCTCTGTTACATTAGAAGTGTAGCAGACACCAAGAAAATAACTTCGAAAACTTACCGTTCACCACTTTACATCTAAATGATTCACAATCTCCTGGGTGGCATCAGAGACTACAAAATCAACACAATCAAATTTTACCAAGAAT